CTTCTTAGAACAGTTATATAGATTCAAATTCTAATATATTGAAGTGGTACACAAAGATTATTTTACTGTATTCTAAGTTAAAGGAAGGGGGGGAGGAGGGGGGCAGAAATAAATGGGGGTGGAGGAAGGAAGGGATGGGCAGGGAAGGGGGAGGGAAAAGGTAGGGGGAAGGGTGTAGGGACAGGGAAAAGGAAGGGGGAAGGGTGTAGGGACAGGGAAGGGAGTAGGGACAGGGAAATGAGGAGGGACAGAAAGAGAAAGAGGGAGGAGAAAGGAAAGGGGTACATGGAAATGGGGAGGGACAGGGGAAGGGAAAAGGAAAGGAGGAAGGGGGGAGGGAAAGAAAAGGGGGAGGGAATACACTCGTCGCCGTGTGTACGTGGCGGCGTTGTTGTCGTCGGCCGTTGGCGTCGTCGTCCGTTGGCGTTGTCGTCGTCCGTTGGCTTCGTCGTCGTCGTCTGTTGACGTGGCGGTGGTTGCTCGTTGTCCACTAACGTGCTCGTCGTCTGTTGACGTTGTCGTCGTCCGTTGACGTGGGCGTCCGTTGACGCGGTCGTCGCCCATTGACGTGGTGGTCGTGGTCGTGCGTTGACGTGGTTGTCCCTTGTCGTGTGCCTGGTGTTAGCAGGCTGGGTGGGACGAGCTTGGGATGGGGGGTGCTCACCTATGACGACGAACGACGACTTGCGTCGTTCGTCGTCTGGTTACCACGTCGCTGATAGCGACGTGGCAACGTGTTGGCGCGCTCGTTTACTGAGGCTGGTGACGTGGCGTTGGGGCGTCGTTTCCATGTCGTGGCCGTGGTGTTGTGTTGGGGTCGTGGTGAAACGACGACGGACGTCGTCGTTGTGTGCGTCATGGTGGCCGTTGGTGACGTGGCGGTGTCGCGAGGTGGGTTGGCGTCGTGGATGATGGTGGTGGTTGAGAGAGTGGGAGTTGTTTGTTGATGACGCCCAAATCAAGCGTCGGCAAACGCCGACACTCGATTTGGGCGTCAGGAATTCCGTTCCGTCTCATTCCGGGATCATTCCTTCCGGGTGATTCCTGGAACCATTCTGGCGGAATTTGAATTCCACCAAAATTCCGCCGGAATGGTTTGATCAATTTGGCAGGGCCCTCTGCCAAATTTGATTCCTCCGGAATTCCAGGAATTGCCCGGATTCCGCCGGATTCCGGCAGGAATCAGTGGAGGACAATAAAGACCTCCCAAAAAGGCGCCATCCCGCCTTGTCGCGTTCCATCTCCGGTGTACGAATGGCATCCCAGTACCGATTACGACTGCGAAACGGCCAATCATGGCGTTTCCGAGGACGAGGCGGTGAATGAGATTGAAGAAGTACCTACTGTGGCAGCCAAGGTTGCCGCGAAGCGTTACCCAACCTCAGTGAGTGCCAGGCCATAATTTTTATTTGAAGGCTCTGACATCTTGTAGGATGCTCCGTTACGGGAATGGGCTGGGGGGGAAAAGTCAGACCCAGGCTTTCGGGATGAATACCTCCAGGAGATGCTGAGGTTGGAAGGAAGGGGCGACGCCGCTTCTCATGCACAGTGCACAACCTGTCCATCCGCGCAAGCGATCTATCGGTGCGAGGATTGCATGGGCCGGCTTCTGCAATGCTCAAGTTGCTGTTTGACTCGGCATAGCCATCTCCCGCTCCACATCATCCAGGTAAGTCAGCTTTGTAAATCTTGCTTCAAGTGGGCTAACCTATGACTAGCGTTGGAATGGTAATTTCTTCGAAAAGGTGACCCTCAAGTCGATGGGTCTTCGCGTACAACTGGGACACATTAACTCCGTCTGCGTGGCTCCTCACCCCGGCCACAAAGACTTCATCGTTATGCACACAAATGGCTTGCACAACGTCGCCGTCGATTTTTGCGGCTGTGACAAACGAATGATATCGGATCGCCAACAGCTGATGCGAAGCGAATGGTTCCCTGCGACGATTCACCACCCCCAAACGTGTGCAACCTTCCGACTGCTGGAGTTGTTCCACGTTGTTACCCTTACGGGGAAATTATCTGCTCACGAATTTTACAAATCCCTCGAGTATCTGACTGACAACACTGAGCTGAGTATCCCAAAGGTAAACAGCCTGTTTGATTAGTCTTGACACGGCATAACACCTGTTTTCTTATCTAGACGCGCTACAAATCATTCATGTGCATGATCCGCGAATTTCGTCATCTCAAGCTAATGAAACAGCATGGACGGGGGAATGTCGAGGGCGGTTTGGTATCAACAAGTCGAGGGGATCTTGCAACTATCTGTCCAGCATGCCCAATCCCCGATGTTAACCTCCCAGAAAACTGGAAAGACGTCGACTTAGCGTCCAAGTCTGTCGTTTCAAATCCAGACCAAGTTCCATGTGCTAACGACTGTTGATGTGACACCAGGTTTTTATACGTTCTCATTGTTGCCATGGATGCCAATTTCCGACTGAAAAATTTAATGCGTTCAAGCTTAAAGAAGGATCCCGGTCTTCACACCAGCTTCGCTTACTTCCCAGAAGACGTGCCATATCAAAAGCACATTCTAAAATATGCAACTCAGAAAGATGTAAGTCTCGCGCATTATCCCAGGTTGTATTTCAAACTAACAATATTGAAGATTAGCACATGTAGCGGTTTCAAGACATTAGCCAACGCTGAGACCCAGTTTTCGACGGGCTTACAGTCGACAGGGGTAGGAATGTGTGTCTGTGCGCGACACGAAATCATTCGCGCTGGTGGTGTGGGAGACCTTCAGAAAGGGGACACTAGTGGTATACACTCTTATGATAAAAACCAGACACATGCCTGGAAGGCGATGTGTATAATGCCTAGAGGTTCAATGAGACAACTCATTATTTTGTCTAGTATTTTCATTCATTAAGTTCCCTGTGTATTTCATTTGGTTTTTTCATTAAATGACCTAGGTGATCTCATTAATATTGCAGGGCAGTTAGTAGGAATCACCCACCAACACTGAGAGGCCCGACAATACAAACAGGCCATAGTTGATGGTGCCTGCTGATGGGCCAATGAGGGCCAATAACCCTGTGTTGATGAATTGGCCGATGTGATCCCACTATCAAGGTAAAGAAGGGTCGGCCAGCTACATAGATTTAGCATACACCGATCAGTAGGAAGCTGCCCCGGGAAGTCAAGTCCCTGTATTTGTATATCGGCTGATAGCTAAGCTATGCAAGGTCAGCTGACAGTTTTGAACATTGTATTTGTATATCAGATAGTTAAGCTATGCAAGGTCGGCTGACAGTTTTGAACATTGTATTTGTATATCGGCTGATGGAAGATGCAAGGTCGGCTGACAGTTGTGAACGTTGCTGGGCTGGTGATCGGCCGAGGGCCTTCACTTCTGATTAGCAGCTAGGCTATGCAAGGTCGGCAGACATTTTGAATTCGCCTGGGTTGGTGGTCGGCCGAGGGCCCTCAACTCTGGTTACCAGGGTCAGCTGGCGAGACCCACATGGTAGTCATGGTTCATGGATATCACCGAGTCAGCCGGACACGAGAATTTATGAACATCTCATCAGCCGATGCATCACCGAGGCCGGCATTTTCAAGCCGAATCGTTTTCAGCTTGGCCTTTAATTTAGCAGCCAAGCAGAGGCAGACCAGGCAGAACTTGCAGTTCAAATTTTCATGATCCGAGACAACATCGGTCAAACCAGCATTGATTAGTAAATTTTAACAAGAGTTGCGATAGGTGTAACTGACTTGTGGGAT